CTGCTCACATACTGGTGTCTAGAAAAAGCATGAAGACATGATGGAAGTACATAATAAACATAACGAGCTAAGGCAAAGACAGGGTATCAGAAATAGTGGTGCTCAACTTCATAGAGAAATTGTGCTGTGTTTGCATTTGCAGCACCAGTTCATGCTTTCATTTGGCGTGGTCTATCTACACAAAATATTTTATGTGCGTCTACTACTCAAACATGCGAAACAAAGAATTGCTTCACATCAGCAAGTAACCACTGATTTGAAGTCTGTGAGGTACAGTACTCATTTTGGATCATTATTGTTATGCATGTTTGAAGTTCTATAAGTTCTGAACCGAGGCAAAAATCTAAATTCTCTTCTGGCTTGATCTGGAAATCATTTGAGCCAGTATAGACAAGACTTGTAGGAAAAGTAGCCTAAACATTAATGTCACATTTAAATATGTTGGACAGTGTAATGGCTAGAGTTTTAATAAAATGAAAGAAATTTACATTTTGCTTCTGGATGAAATTAATAAAAATTATGGTCAGAATAAAAGTGACTTTTTTAGCTGGTGGTGATGCTGCTAGGGTCACAGAATCAGTGTGCCAAATTGCATTACTTTCCTATGTATGGTTAATATGGCTGCCATTGGGGAAGAAAAGACAAAGACAATAATAAAACAAAAATAAAAGAAATATATATCAAATAGTGAAGATCCATAGAGAACCTACCATTTCTTTGCATGGCTTTGTTGAACTCATCTGTTCCATACAACTCTCTTTTGAACTATCCGATTTTGCGAAGTATCCATAGTCATATAGAGATCTGTCAACGTCTTAATTAAAGATGAGTTTTACATAATTATACATATAAAACATGTTTCAGGTTCGTTGTTTAATAAAAATCACATTGGCACTGAGATGTCAGCAGATATCAGGTTATTTTACACATTTCACTCATTTTCTGCAGTAATTTAACTCGGCAATTTCATGTTTTGTTTTTTTTTTTCTTTTTGTGAAAATTATTTTCTATGGATACACCTCATATGTGACCCTGGAGCACAAAAGCAGTGTTAAGTCGCTGGGGTAAATTTCTAGCAATAGCCAAAAATACACTGTATGGGTCAAAATTATAGATTTTTCTTTTATGCCAAAAATCATTAGGATATTAAGTAAAGATCATGTTCCATGAAGATATTTTGTAAATGTCCTACTGTAAATACATTAAAACTTAATTTTTGATTAGTAATATGCATTGCTAAGAACTTCATTTGGACAACTTTAAAGGAGATTTTCTGAATATTTTGATTTTTTTTGCACCCTCAGATTCCAGATTTTCAAAAATTGTCTTATCCTAACAAACCACAATGGAAAGCTTATTTATTCAGCTGGACCCTTATGACTGGTTTTGTGATCCAGGGTCACATATGTCTATATTATATGTAACTAAAAAAGCAGTATGTATTTATTGCATGTGTTATTTACCATCTTTGATGAACTCATTGTGTAGCTGGATGCCATTGAAGTCTCCACACAAACCGCAGGTCTTATTTAAGTGCATCATGTCCAATTCAACCTAAAAGGAGCAATTACAGCTACTTGCTTGCAAAAACATCAGATATTTTGCATATTGATGTCACACTCACTGTGAAAGAGTCATCCTCGTTCCACATGGCCACCAGTCCATGTTTAGCAGTGACTTTGACGTAGGAGGAACTCTTATAGATAAGAATACCAGAGTGGCTAAACGGCAGATTCATCCTAACAGGAAACATATACATTGAATCACAAACTTTCCAAAAATTGCTATAACTCTGACCACCAGAAATAACTTTTACTTACACTCTTCCGTCCACCGTGACAGAGTTTTTGGTGAGCTCCACTACAGTGCTGTCCAACTTCATTGTGATGTTAGTGATTATTGGTTGGTCATTTACTACTTGGCGTCTCAACTGAATGTTGAAGTCCTCGTAGCTGCTTCCACACATTGCGCACATGATATAATTACAAGTGGATGGTAGGTGGAAAATATCTCCATCAAATGTCTTGAAGTGGTAGTTACCCCATGTGCTACAGACTTGTTTGTTATGAGCACCTATAGGTGAGACAACAGGATTTGATAACTGACCATATGTTTTCTAAAATTATATATATATATATTAGTGCTGTCAAACGATTAATCGCGATTAATCGCATCCAAAATAAAAGTTTTTGTTTACATAATATATGTTTGTGTACTGTGTATATTTATTATGTATATATAAATGCACATGCATGTATATATTTCGAAAATATTTGCATGTATTTACATGCATATATATGTACATTCTTATAATTTATATTATTTATAAATATATTTAATATATAAAGATAACATATTTTTCTTAAATATATACATGCATGTGTGTGCATTTATATATACATAATAAATATACACAGTGCACACACATATATTATGTAAACAAAAACTTTTA